TGTCACAAGAAAACGAAACATCGTAAATTCCTCATCTGAAGACGACCAGGACGATTCTATTCCCTTGTCTGTATTGAGCTACAAGATGAAATCTACATCTACACCTGAGGAAAGGGGAGTTGCAGCCGACAGTTCTTCAGGCAAAGTATTTGAAACAGCAAAAGAAGCTGCGAAAAAAAAAATATTTTCGATAGACGATCAACCTGGATCGAGTTGTTCAGACAAGAGCCTGTGGGATTTAAGACCAATTGCAACCTGTGATCGTTCTGGAAAGTCCCAAGTTCGAAAAAAGATGTCGGCTTCGATAATTAGCAGCACGCCTATGAAGGAAGAGCTGGAACTCAAAAAGCAATTAATGGAGGAAAAAGAAAATAAAAGTAAATTAAAAGTATCAACTTCAGTAACCAAAAAACCCAAAGACTTAAAAAATAAACCAAAGGAAAAACCTAACAAAGAGCGGGATGACGTTAAGACAAAGTCGAAAGATGCAAGTAGTGAAGAAAGTTAGCAGAAATATTATTGCCCAGGGTGTGGAGAATTGTATGTCGACCCCCCTACAGAAAATTGGGTCCAGTGTACTGGGTGCTTGGAATGGTGGCACGACAAATGCTCTAGATTTGAGGGCAGCGGTGACTTTAAGTGCGATTTTTGCGACTAGTCATCTTGCCCCAATAGGTTCGTCATCTTACCCATGCCATGGGGTAAGATGACTAAAGTGCAATGTTTTGTTTTAGTTTTTATTGTGAAAAAATGTTTAACTTTCGATGTTTTTTACGTATGCCAAATGAAAGGCAATGAACAAGGCTCCATTGTGTCTGAGTTTATGTTGCTTAATAAAAAAGTTTACCGTAAAAACAATTGTTTCTCCTTGTTCCCTGTTCCCATATGTACATATATAGTGTATTTCTGGATTTAATATGTGACCTGGGCGCCCATCTTACACAAATCGTATAATTTTTCTCTAGTTTGATGGTCATTTTGCAAGAACTCGACCATATTTATTAGATCCAGTACTTCAAAAGTGCCTCCTCATTGGTCGAATTTGTGCCATAGGCGCAAATTTTGATTACCGTAGGTCAACGGTAAAATCGGGACTACAGAATACAAAACCTGTGCCGCATTTCATGCTCGTATATTTTGACTTATGTACTTCAAATTTAAAACTTTGGATGGCACAAAAGAAATTGGCACATGTATAATTAGGAACGTGTCATCGATATTTCTTGTCTTATTGAATATTCTTTAAATCATATAGTACATAATTTGTTCTTATAATTTTGAAGTAGCTCTATTACATTTCGTCTGTGGAGAGAAGTATCACAGAAATTTAACATACATATAAGTGAAATATGGCATTTAATGTTTCTTATATGGCCTTGATGAACGTGATATACAGGGTGACCGAAAATTTGATCCATTCGTTTAAAATGGTTGTACATTACAATAGGCAAATAATTAACACACACTAACTGAAGGCCTATAATGAGAGGTTTCCGAGTTATGGACGTTGTAAGATTTTTTTTTAGCATGACATCACAGAAAGATTCTCAAAGAAATATTAATTTCAAGTACGTACTCAATGACGCTCTTTGGAAACCTGATGCACTAGAATCTGGTTCGATATTCCAATTATTGCACAAAGTAGTATTTGTTTCGAAGGCGGCCAACTTTATTCCTGTGATATTGACAATAGAAGGTTAGAATTTTTATGTAAAAATGATTGCTATCTTATCAGCTCTGTTGAGTGCCTAAATGATAATAGTCATTCCAGATAATTCTATGAAAAATTTTGCAAGTTTATTTTTGACTCCCGTTAATTAGGGTTACTCAATGAGTAGGTTGATTTAATAATCACCATGTTCTATTTACACAAATATATTTTCTTCGAAGAGAACGTTGAAAATCGTTGAGTCTATACTACCAATTTCTGTTTGCAGAAAAGGACTGTAATATACCTCTTGGAAATACAATCGTTATGTTTCACCAATCATACAGGAACTGAACCGATCCACTCATGTAATATATTATACAACCAATGTCATCTACATATCTATCGGATGTACTTCCCAAGTTCGACTTAACCATTATTCGTACAAGCAACATTGTCGAGGGTTGCCGTACTCGACGGTATAGCCATCATACCGACCCGATTTCAGTACCATAGAGGGAAGGCGCGGTCCCCCCCGGTTGGCCAGGCTCAGTCGTCCTCTTGCCGTGGACTTGCATCGTATGAAAGGTGTTCCTGGCCTACGTAGGACATTCCGTCTGGCGAAGCACTTTCCTGAAAATAAGAGGAAAAGTAGTAAAGATCCATTTATGATAACCACGAAAATCTGTGTCTGGTTAGCTGATTTTCTATCTCGCTACAAGAGATGGACATCTCCTACCAAATAACAACAACACGTAGTTAGATGCCATCAACTATTTTGAGGACGACATGTTTTTGATTTGGTCACTCAATTTCTCTCTAATTTATTTTAATTGCCTAGCTATCTTATAAGCACTCTTTAGTCATAGCTACTTTTTGTAATCTTACTTAATCCGGTGATCCCTAATTCCACTACTCCACTATCGGCGATGATCTTCATTATAGACACGATCATCGCGCAAGCATCCACATGAGCATCCGTAGTAGTTTGTCAAACAACAAGCATCAATTTTGCTATAGACATATTGTTAAATGATTCTTCACTTCCCTTGTGTACATGTAGCAAACCTTGGTGCAACATGTATGTATATGTATGTATGTATGTACATATGTATGTATATATGTATATTTTGTTTGATATCTGCTACTGAACAACTTTTTTTTTGCATGGGTGGTTAAGTGTAAGAGTAGCATGTTGCTAAGACTTCGCCACCATATGCAACTCTTGTTTCTCTGTATGAAAGTGTATAGTTTAAATAAAGACGATTATTATTATTATTTTTATTATTAATATGGACGTGGAGTGTGTTGCTGCTGCAACCATTTATTCATAATGGTGAATGAGTGATCGGCGATCGAGTGGGCACGTTGATTCTTGTTACTTTCGAGTACTCGTAGTATGAGTTTAACGATTTGGCAACGTGAGTCGTGTAATTAATGTCGATTGTCGAATTTGAACAAGTTCAATGGAAACGAATCTTGTAAGAAAATGTAATAAGCATACTTTGTATTTACTAGAAGTGCTTAAAACCGTCTTTTAGAAAGATGATCTGTATATGTGCTTAAGGAAATTCGGAATGGAAGGTAACTTTTCGAAGCATTTCAATTAAGCATATACCGGTATAAAGAATTCTACGTGGAGCTTAGTCTACACATACTATTGGTGCTCATACTGAATTATAATTTATTTAGCAAAACAGTACACGTAAACACGAGTCAAATTGACATAATTTTTATTATTGTGGTTTTCCTGAACGGTGGTGTTACCTTGTTGTTGCTTTTCTGCCTCATAATATACTGCCGAGCTTTGCTCCTCCAATCCAATCGACTCCTTATTCCTTTTCAGGTTCCCAAGATCACAAAAATAAAAGCGAATTTGAGTCATGGTGTAAATTGGTAAACTTCAGATTTAGAAACAATTACCAAATTCTATGTCCGTCAATCAAAAAGTTGAGTTTCCAGGTTTCCACCCGAATGTGGGATGTCTGGCAACCCTGATGCATGAGCGGTACGGATACGGAACACAGAGTAATCAAAGTAATCATTTCGTGTTCCGATTGGTACTCGTTACTTCGGGTATCTATGAGTAACGAGAACTCGAGTACCGTATAGTTACTTTTTCAACACCACTAGTGGGCACCTCAACGCAACCACCCGTCGATTCTCTTTGATGCGTGTCCGAAAAACCGACAATTCACGGGTCGAAGGCGATCATAGACGATGATTGGCGAGTCCAGCCGAGTATGCCCTCTACACGATCGTGCTCGCTTGTAATCGCCGACTGTGAAGAGAAGCCATAACTTGCGAAATATCTTACCTGCGGGTAGTAGTACGCGGCAGCAGCCGCAGCCGCCGCAGCAGCATGTGCCGCCGCATTCTGTTCGGAACTGGTACCTGGTGCACCTCCATTCATGGCCATCGGCGGAGTCATCGCTGGGCCCCTTCCTCCCCCGCTGGCTGATGACCCTGTGCCCATGTCTCCGGAAGCTGAGGGAAGCCCGAAGCCGGAAGCCACGTCAGACCCATCGCGACACCACAGTTGCCGCATCTCCTGCCTACGTTGCCGCATCAGCATTTTGTATTCTGATATGCGCATCTTCTTGCCTGGAAATTTAAAGACGATTCTGGTATTGTAAGAAAATTAGAAAAATGGCGTCAATCAGTTCATAACGGATTAAGATATGCACGAGTTAGTCCCTCCGAAAAAAAGTTAGTCAAATACGCTCATACAATTGAAATTTGCATATTAGTATACTTGGGTCTCTTTAGAATTTGCGCTTCTGAGAAAAAGTGCTACTCCCTACTAAATAAAAAGTTTTAGAGTCAGGTACGCTTGCCGACGAATGACCCTCCCTCCCTGCCTGAAAAAAATTCCTGCGGGCCCAAATGATCGAAACTATGATTCACAGCAGTCGAGCAGCGTTGGCGAACTGGGACGCACATGTATATTATCGACATGCGACGATTGGAAATATTTCTCCATCATTCCAAGTTTTCACACAGCAGCGGTGGCGTAGTGGTAGACGTTATGGGAGCGCTGCTCGGGTTCGAATCCCGTCCCAAGATAATTTTTCTCTTGGCTATGGATGTTGTAGCTAGTAGACGGTCTTTAACTGTCGACCGTGGAGGTACCACCCGGCGGATCTCCAAGGCGGGCATGTTGCATGTACACGTGTGGCGTCCTTCCCTTTCCTCTGTATCCCCCTATAGCCCCACAGTATCCCTGGGTGTTTGGGACTTAGGCCTTCGTGGTGGTTCAAGTATGAAAAAAGGATAAATGTACGGCAAAATATATGATGAATGAAATATGTATATTAGATGCGTAAAATCGAGATATTTTTTTCTTCACTGCTTACAACTCCCAAAAATACGATTGTAGAGATGTTTTTACCAGAAACAAGAAACACTTACCATCAACTATACAGGTCCTCTTCGGCCTCGGTCTATACCTATAGTCCGGATGCTTCTCCATATGCAGCTTGCTCAACCTTGACTGTTCCTCGTAGTATGGCTGCTTCTCAGAATTCGACATGGCCTTCCACCTAGCGCCCAGTATTTTAGAAATGTTGGAGTTGTGCATGTCAGGACATGCTTTGAGGATCTTCCTCCTTTCATCCTTGGCCCATACCATGAATGCGTTCATGGGTCTCTTTATGTGCGGTTTGTTCTCAGCGTCGCTTCGTTTCGCCTGCTGTCTGATGATTTTGGCTTTGTCAGAGTTGTCGTCCAGTTTGAAGCCACTTGGGTCTGGTGCACCCCATACTGTGGAAATTAATCGGTTTTGACTAATTGAAAAAATTGGTAAAGTATATGGGTGTTCTTTAGCGAATTAGACAGTTGAAAGAGCACGCTTGCTGAGGAGAAGGGAAGCGAAAAGGAGAGAAGCGGGAAGTTTGACATCTGGAATGACAAATTTATCCGCGGTTCTCTTCACGATACTTCTAAGTGGGAGTGCAACCTTAGGTGAAATAATACAAACAAATCGCTCAAAAGGAACGGAAAGATTTGGTGACATATATTTCCATAACGCCAATATCGTTTATCAAAGTTTTCAGTGCCTCTGGTATATCGACTGTAGATCCCTTATTTGACATACCCATATGTTATTCGTGAATGCATCAAATCGTGACCCGTGACCTGCTATAAAATAATGTATCGGACGACAAATCACATATTTTTTATTTTTTCAGACACGACACTCCGACAGTATTCTTTGTCCCCAGCCTGAATCACATTACATCTTAGTGGTTAATATAAGGTTGAGAAATTTTGAATTCTCGGTTAATTACCTTTAATCTTAGTGACTTCAAAGTCAGTCAATAATCATTGACTTCAGGTCTTAGGTATTCAAGTTCGGGTTCATCGACCTTTGGCTTCAAGATCAATAGCCTTAATTTCAATGACAACCACTTTTCAACCCAGGGTCATGGACCTCCTCAAGATCCACGATATTTAAATTCAGGGTCACTGAAATTCAATCTTAGGATTGAGGATTTTTGACTCTAGGGTCGATGGCATTTAATTCTTGAATCAATAGCTTATGACTTTTAGACTCTTTTGCTTTAACATTTGAACCTGACATAGTCAATCACCTTGAAACTTGAAGTTAATTACATTTGACTTCAGGGTCACTGACGTTCAATCTCGAGATAAATGGTCTTCAGCGCGGCAATAATAAGGGTTAGGTGATCGTCGAACTGGTTGAAATTATCTAGATAACGGCGGCGGATTCCACAAAAAAATCGGGTGTCAGAGTAGCTCTTTGAATGGCAGATGGCATTTGATGGAGCCACATTGTGACCAGGACAAAAAACCTTTTTTCCTGTTATTTTTAATTTCGGTGGCCGTATCTATACTTTAGAAAAAGCACTTTGAAGCTTTAAGATTCTAGTTGTCAGGGATTTTAGCAGAAAAATTTTAGGAGCAACGATTCTCATGCATTTCTAAAAGATAGCACTGAAAAAAGTTTTAGCAAAATTTTTGTCTTCTTGTTTTTAGTCCACGGGCTTCAAAAAATGTTTACGGGATCAGTCTAACCAAGCGGTCTGGAGAAACCGTACAATGCCTTCGTGCAGTTATTAGGGGTACATTGAGGTATAAAAACCAAAAAATATGAGCCTTCTCATTAGCAGTTCCAAAACTAGGCAAACTGTAACTTTTATTGAAATCGATATTGAGGGAACAAAGCAAAATTCCTCAAATATTGTAATCAAATCTTGTATTGGGTTTATTCCAGTTTGCGGAAATACCCTAACTTTCTGTGTGCGATCACCACTTACCGAGATATCAAAGGTCGGTGACAAAAAGATCCTTTTTCATTCAAAGTCAGATATCTCTGCACCAAATGATCGTAACCGAGATATCAAAGGTCGGTGACAAAAAGATCCTTTTTCATTCAAAGTCAGATATCTCTGCACCAAATGATCGTATCAACATTTAAAAATAATATTGAAGCAGAATTAACAAGCTATCTGATGCATATGATAGCCTAACAGTAAACATTTTGTTCAATCCCGTGGACTAAAAAGAAGAAGGCAAAAATTTTGCAAAAAGTTTGTCTTGCGCTATAGTCACCGAAATACAGCCTATTAAACACAGAGAAGTTTGGACTTTTTTCTTGCTCCCTTAATTTTTTGAGTATTGAAGTCATGCGAAATTTACGTTTATTTATCAAGCTGACTGAACTGGAGTAGTCAATTACGTCTGTCGAATTAACAGAAATAGTCCAGGGAACGAGAGCAGTCGATAGTCCGAATCGCATAATCAACCTACAAACATCGATTTCCGAGAAACTATAAAGGTCCAAAAAACCAGCTGCAATGTTTCAAAATAACTGATAGAGATAAAATTGCAAAGCAGATACCTGATTCTAATCCAATAGGTGAAACCATTTTGCTAACGAAAGGTGCAAATTGGAATAACAAACAGTGAAACATGCGATTCATTCAAGAACGGTTCCCACGATGTCAAACAGATTGCAGAAATGAAATACGGCATAATAGGCCACCAATTTAACTGCGTTAGTGAATTTGTTCTTTTTTTGTTACTGTTGTTTCGTAATTTGATCTCATTTCGTGTTTATTGTCATTGATTTGAACAAAGCTGAAAGAGCGAGGCACGTTTTTTTATGAATGGCTGTAAAGTGGCATTGAAGATAATGATGGGATGGATGAATGAATGTTAGAGGACTGAACTGCTAAAAAATGAAAGTGCGTTCTTGCATGTATTTTCGTTTCTAAATATGCCCCACCAGAAAGGTAAAATTGGGAAGCAATCATGTAGGTTTTACAGGATTTCAATTCAATTTTATGGAAATGGAACGATCTCTACAGAGTGATTCACAAGTCGTGACCAAAAATGAAACATCATACACATGAACTAAAATTTGGTATGTGGATTTACCTAAGTATTCTCACATTCAAAAGTTTTTACTTAAAACTAACGTGCACCAGTAGCGGAGATACAGGGCATTACTTTACCAAATAAAAACAGTACGCCACTGTTTTTAGAATTATACCTTCAATTTGCTACAAATAATTACTCTTGTGTTTTTTCCTAGAGAGTGCACTGTCTCCGTAAAAATAAAAATAATACATATTTGATTCATGAACAGTCGAGATACAGTTTTAAAATCAAATAGGAGGCCTTGATACCAACTTGACGTTTCTTGGGAGATAGTTTGTCAAAGTTATGTGTTATAGTTATACGGTTGTTATCGTTACTATTACATTTTTTTTAAAAGTCGTCAAAAGTTTCTTTTTTCCATTTTAGAGTGTTTTGAAATGGAATTCAGCAATGATGAGTACTTTGATATTATTTTTGTGTATGGGTTCTGTAATGGAAATGCTTTAGCGGCTTCGCGGGAGTATCAACGTAGATTGCCTAACAGACGCCTACCTACCCCAAAGGTTTTTACGCGTTCATGTCTAAGCCTTCGGTAATATGGAATCGCCAAACTTCCCGAAGTTAGAATTTCGTTGTGCAAACATTTTTGAAATATGCAAGATCAATAATGCATTTTCCGAAGTATATCGCTTAGCTTAAAGGTGATAAAAAGCGTATGTAAAATAACAGAGAGTTTTACTGACGTTTGAAGTAACGACATCGTATATTCCACTGGTCCATTATTTTCAACATATTTACGTACAAATACAAAGATTAGGAACCATCTGAAAGCGAGATTGAAACGTTTTTCGTTTTGGGTCCACCTCCAAACTACATCAAAATTGGTGAAGCCCTTTCACATATTATAAGGTTGAATAATACCAATGGGTTGGCATAACCTGACGAAAATGGATGAATCGGACCTTCATAATGCAGTCGTTATGAAACATTAACTTGTTAGTTGGATATTCAAAAATCATATCGCAATACTTCTTTGTTCGCTTCTGCGTGGGAATTAAATGTAGAATTTACCTCTGCAAATCCTACACTTGAATCAAGAATCAACCATTCATTTTGTAAATTTTCCGATCCTATCTAGTGGCATAATTTTTTGTTTTATAAGCTTACGAGAGACATGTTTTTCTGAGCCACCATGTATGAAATTCCGAAAACTTAGAATATTCCAATCAAATGCAAATATCTTCCAGTTTATAGGAAGTATTTTATTATGTTTATTCAATCTTTGAAGTTTGTCAACGTTGTGAACCTCTCAAAAACATAACTTCGTTGGAACCAAGGCTGCTGATACGTAGCAATATACATTAAACTTGACAGAAAACCTGACCATTTTATAACTTGTTAATCATGGCAAGATAAATCGATATATAAAAGATTCTTGAATTTTTCTTACCTTTTCTTGTGACTCAGTATACAAGCTGTCATCTGTAGGATGACACTTATACTAGGCTTATGTTCTCCACTATATACAAGGTGGTCTCTCACAATTTAAAGGAATACATGTTTCTGTCTAAATTTTTCTACTGCACTATGTGAATAGAGGTGGAAACACCCGTCTCAGTGAAAATTATCTGTTAAGTAAAATGATACACTGCCAAGATTCCAACTCTATTCCTACACAAATCACTGCTTCATAATTGAAAGGACACAATCTTAATATCTACGCTCATACCTCTCACCGATCACCTGGAGACGACATTGACTTCAATATAAACGGCTTTGACACAATCTTGGCAAAATATGTGGTTGCATCAAAGAATGAAAAGCCGGACACATAAACCAGGAAACAATATATTTATAAAACCGATAAATAATAAATTCTGGCTACTGAGCTATCAATGATCGGGACTGTCTCTTTGATCTCAATAAAGCTCATATTTTTTATTGTGGTGAACAGTGAGCTGAGTAATTTATTGCTTGAATCGATGCCAGCAAAACAATTAATATTATTGTTGGGATTCCTTTGAAGTGCAGCACATTGTCGGGAAGAATTTGGGAATAATTATTATATAAAATGAGCTTATTTCTAATTGGAAACAGACCTTTTGGGGATACTTTTTATCGTACTGTGGCTGATATACGTGATTAGATAAAGTCAAACAGCTAAAAAATGTGTATTTGACGAAAGGGAGAGTTTATCGCCCTTGGAGAAACATGCTGCGAGTAGAGTAAGCAAATGTGCGAAAGTAGCACAACATGTAGGAATTGTATGTGAAAAAGGCCATACAGCACCATTTTCAA